TTTGTGCATTAGTGGAGGACATATCCACACCAACCAGATTATACATCCTTGAAGTATTTGAAGAAAAATATCAGCAGAGTGTCTCACATGAATATATTGAGGTACTGGTATGGAAATTGCAGATTTACCAACACTGACAAAATCTCTAGTCTATGGAATGCTATTAACTCAAGGATCACACCCATTGAGTTCTAGATTAGATGTTACTACATTCTAATCAATAGATGCAAGTGAAGAAAAAAATACATACACTTCCTTATACCAAACCACCATTTGCATCATGAAAATTTGTGAGATGTGATGGTTATAATGATATAAATGTGGAGAACAAAAAAAGATTAAACAAAATGGGACATTGTATAATTGTGGTCAAATTTGGCCCCCAAAAAGAGTTGAGAAAATGTACCTCCTTTCCCTCTTTATAAAAGTAGGAGGCCAGAGGCATGGATTAATACATATAGTAATTTATTGGTTTGTGGAAATGCTTTTGTTTTTCTTTTTAATCTTTGTTATAAGGAATGGCTCACTGGGTAGGAGATGGCAGGTAACTTGAAAATGAAGCTGATCTTCATTCAAAAGGATAGCAATAAAATAATTTTGGGAAAAAAACAGTGTGGTGTGAAAATCATTGGAATATAAATTACGAGAACTGGATTCTACTCCATTATTGACTACTAAGCAGCTCTTTATTTTGAGGAAATCATTTATCTATGGGCCTCAGTTTTCTCACCTCACTCATGACAAGGTTAGAATAAGTTATTTCCAAGATAACTTCCAGCTCTAAAATGCTATGAAACTCTTGTAGTGGAAAATTATAATATTAGGATGAAGGAAAAAAACTATTGTTCATAGTCATATGGCATTATCGATATGTTCTATATGATATGCTATCATGAATGGAATAGACTTGAAAGTGATTTACATTTTATATATTCAAAGAAGGGGTCCTATAAAATCTAACTATAAGTATGCTAATATTATAAGCCCAGCAAAAAATAAAAGAAATAACAATTCACAAATTTTATGTTATTCTTATGGAAAGAATGGAGAGGTTTAATCTAAATGATAGTATAATTAGGAGATCGCATCAGATATTAGACTCAAAGAGTAGTCATTAATGATTTACTGTCAATTTGGAATGAAGTCTCTAGTGAAATGCCACAGGGATCTATGCCTAATCTTGTTCTGTTTCACTTTTTTATCACTGTTTAAAAAAATAATAGTAGTAGTAGTAGCTACCATTTATATAGTATGTTAAATTTTCAAAGAGCTTTAAATATATTATCTCATTTGATAAACAATGGCATATTGCCAATTAAATTTGAAAATGACACAGTTGGAGGGGATTTCTAGCACAGAGTCACAGGTTTCAAAAAGATCTCAACAGATTTGTACATTGGGCTAAATAGAACGAAAAGGAATTTAATAAGGATAAATGAAAAGTCTTACTTTCAATTTTTAAAAATCAGCTTCCTAAGTACAAAATCAGAGAAACATGACCAAAAAGTAGTTTGTATGAAAATGGTCTGAGAGCTTAGTGGGTTATGCATAAATATTTAACAAATAGCTCTCTGCGGGGGAAAAATGTATACGTGACACACTTTTAAGTTTAATCTGCATGATTACCATTTTCTCCATTGCTTTTTTTAAAAATCTAGGCAATCAACCAAGAAATAAACCAAGTCCTAATTTGTAGCTTTTGCTGATATCTGAGACATAAATGCTCACACTGAAAATTTAACAATGAGCTCTTACTAGACAGTTCTGGCTTCAGTGTACCCGTGGCTGCAAGTTCAATTTGTAAAAGCTAAAAACTAATTCAACCTTGGACATTCAGTAAGAAAGTCATCATATCCAGGATAAGGACAGTCCAGGATAGTCTTAATGCAGTGCTAATAGTATAATTCATACTTTTGAATGAATTAATAAATGTGTTCTGATTAGGAAATCAGTCCACAAGCATTTATTAAGTGCTTACTAATACAAAGACAAAAAGAAGAAACTTGTCTTTCCTTTAAGAAGCTTACATTCTCCTGGCAGAAGACACAACATTTAAACAAATAAGTCCAAGATAATTTTTATCTATGTTAATGGTGAAGAGACATTGGGTGGGTGCTATGAAAGTAAAACCAAAAAGACGAGGCAATAAATTTGGTATGCAGGTTGAAGGAAAGAAAGAGTTGAGGATGAGTGAGGCTTTAACTGGGTAAATGTAAGGAAAAAAAAGGTGCCCTCAAGTGAAGAAGGCTGAGTTTAAGGGGGAAAGAAAATTAGTTCCTTCTTGGGCATGTTAAGTTGGAAATGTTGATGGAACATCCAGAGAAAACTGTCTACCACACAGTTGGTAATTCAAAACTAGAGTTTAGGAAAGGGGATAGGGCTGGATATGTAGATTTGGGAGTCATCTGCATAAATAATAATTGAGCCTCTAGGACCTAATGAGATCACCAGTAAACAGAGTACAGAGAAAAGAGAAGAAGAAAGCCCAAGATATGAAATGAAAAGCCATATTTCCCTTCACTGGAGGTCAAGATCAAGCAAAAGTTGTATAATCCTTTGTCAAGCATGTTGTAGATATGATTCTTTTTTGGGGATGGGTTATATTAGATGACCACTAAAGTCCCTCCCAACTCCAAGATTATGTAAACTAATGGATTAGGAAAAGTATTCCCCCAAATCCACATAACCCCAGAATCTCACCGTTGGAAGAGACCTTCCATCTCTGGACCATATGACATCAGCAACTATGTAGCCCAGCTCACACCTAAATAAGAACCCCTCCTACAACAAAGGGTCATTTAACCTCAACTTGAAAACCTGGAGGGAAGGGGAATCTACTAGCTAGCTCCAGATAAATAAAGCCAGGAAGACCTGAGCTCAAAAACAGTCTCAGACACTTAACAGTTGTGTGACCCTGGTCAAGTCACTTAACCACTGTGACAACAATAGCTCCTACCTCCCCAGGTTGTTGTTAAGGTAATATTTATAAAGCACTTTGCAAATCATTTACACACTCACCATCATCATCAATACCTACATCTCAGGGGTGTTGTGAGGATCAAATGAAAATATTTGTAAAATGCTTGGCACAATGCGTGACATACAGCAGGCACTTCATAAATGTTTATTTTCTCTCTTACTATTTTATTTCCCCCTATTCGTGTTAGCTCCTGCTTCCATGTTCTTAACCGTTGCTCCAATTCTGCTGCACCCATCCATTCTCCACCCTTTATATATAAATACCCTTCTCTGCCCCTGTTACAAGTCTCTGGATGGTTTCTAAGAGGAAAGACCAGATTTGAAAGGAAACCTTTTTTCCCCTAGGAAGAGGTCCAGCCCAGTCACTGGGTATCAGCCCATCTGTTCCTGGCAGTAATTATTTAAATCTGAGTCAGACGTTGTCAGTAGCAAGCCTCTCATATTTTATTTGAGCCAAGATTTAGAGGTGAGGAAGTTCAACATTTTTGCAGGGATTTAAAAAAAGTAAAGGTGCATCCCCACAGTAATCAAACTAAATCTAACATGGATGATGACTGGCCTATCCCAGAATTCCTTCCTTCACGATCTCTGCGCACAAACAGCCTAATTCCTGCTTGGCATTTCAGAAACATTTCACCTCCATCCAGTGTAAAGGGAAGCAACTAATCTGAATGAAACAAATAATCTCAGCAAAGTGATTGGCACATGGGAAGCCCTTCATAAATGCTTTTTGATTTGACTTGAATGACAAGGATTATTGTCTTTTTCACCTAGTAAACTGAACCTAGGTATCATTGAACCAAACATAGAATGATGAGGTAGATAATTAGAATTTACTTCACCTAAAAGTAATTAAGGAGGTGGTAGGAAAATGAAAACAGATGTAAGCGTACTTGAAAGTTCTCAGGCTCTACTTTAACCCAAGAGAGGTTCAGCACACCTACATTATTCTTTTTTTACCTTGAATAGAAAGGGTGAGCATCTGTATAAAATTTCTGATGGAGCCAGTTGCAAACTTTCTCATCCTTCTTCCGGAGGCTCGTCCTTTTGTCATGCATGACTGAAGAGGTCAAAACGGAAACCAGCCCTAGAACTGAGAGTGCCCTTCTTGACGTAGTTTCAGGATAGACCTACACTCTATAAAATCTAAGAAATCGTAGGCATTGGTCCTGAAGGTTCAACCCACACCGAACATTCATGAGAAGCCAGCTCCAGAACAGTGTCCCATTGATGCCTCTGACTTTTCTGTGACTTAGACCAAAGTTTATACCAAGCATCAAAAACAAAATAAAAGCAAACAAGAACAAAACTACTTCAAAGTGACTGTAGAATTCTCTCAGTTATTATCACATCAACTTCAATAGCATAAGGAGCACTGGATGAGCTTATTCAAATCCCATCTCTGATGCTAACAGTCCATGCAACCCTGGGCAAGTCACTTAACTTCCTTGGTCCCCAGTTTCCTCTGTAAATTAAGGGGAGGGGGTGGGAATCTATGGCTTCTGTGATCCCTTCATGCTCAAATCTCTGCTCAATGAGGCAGTATGGAGCAGTGATTGGGTTCAAATGCCTCCTCAGACCAGCTTGCTGGCTGTGTGACCCTGAGCAACTCACATGCTATTATTAGCACCCCCATTTTATAGGCAAGGAAACTGAGTCTGAGAGAGGTTAGATGCCTTGCCAAGAGTCGAACAGCTAGTAAGTGTCTGAGAGAGGATTAGAACTCAGGTCTTCTTGATTCCAGAATCAGCACTCTGTCCACTAGGCCACCTACTTCATTCAGTGACAAGCCTGGGGAGAAAGGGCAGGCTTGTGCTAACTGTATAAACACAGGGAAACCACCCACTGGGGTCTGTGGAAGAGAAAACGCTGAAACAAGCTTGCGTGTGCCATTCCAGAGGGGAAAAAATCAGCAGTTGGGTAAGGAATAGTTAATAAGAAATGTGCCTCTCTCACTGTGCACATTACAACAAAGGGCTGGCAGCTCCCTGAAGGAAAAGGGCTTGTGTTCTGCCGTTTAAACTTGTCAGTCAGCTCGTGCCAGCAGCCCGTGTGTCTGCCGCCCCAGCACACTCTCATTCCATGTGTCTGTCTGGCCTGCTCTGTTCATCTGTTCAGAGACGCTCCTGACAACTCAGGATTTTTCCTTTTTCTCTTGCTGTGGAATTAAGAGGAGAACCATTACAGCTAATTCTCTGTCACCCTCTCCCACCCCCCTACTGCCACCACCACCACACCGAATCAGAGGAGGAGAAGGAGGAGGAAGAAGAAGAAGAGGAAAAGGGGGCTTCTTACTTTATGGTAGCTTCACATTCATTCCCTTTACGGTTTCCCCAACCTCGATCTCTAGAATGGAAGAGACTGAACTGGTGAAGGAGAGACTCCAGGCCATCACAGTAAGTGTTTACAGTTACAACTCATTACGGCGGTTGCTTAGAGAAAAAGAGAACAGTCATGGCTTGCTCTAAGTGCCAAGCTGGTGGAAGTGATCAGAACTGTCAGATGTAACTGACAGTTAGGGGCTCTGTCCCACTGTGTTAACTTCAGCTACTGGGGCTTCAGGACTGACAAGCGCACAGCAAATGCTTTTTCCTTATCCTGACATTGTGTTTTTAAGTAAATATTTTTAATGCAGGTTGCTTAGCTATTATTTTTCTCCTTCCAGGTTTAAAAAAAAAACACACTCTCTTCCCAAACTATGTTTGAAGGACATTGGGTCAAAAAAAACCCAAACCTGATCCCTCAATTAGGAAACTTCTTTAGACAACTAATAGAGGAATGGGGGGGGGGACGGGGAGGGTTGGGGTATTTGAGGAAGGGAGTAAAAAAAAAATTAAATGAAAGGAAAATACACAGGAGACCTGTAACTTTTTCTTCTATGACACAATAGACTTTGGAGAAAACTTCATGGATCTCACACCAATTTTACCACCCTTAAGCCTGGCATTAAACAAGTAAAAGAAAAGTTTTGGTGTTTTGTTTTGTTTTTTAATGTATCAAGTGAATTCAAAGCTATCAGTTTCCAGTAGTGGCTGCAAGCTGAATAAGAATTCTGATAAAGGAATGCAGTACATGCAATGGACTTTGGGAAATATTTTCATTATTATCAGGAAAGAAATTAGTTTACATTTTAAAGTTTGTTCTTAATGAAGTTTCATCACAAGAAGTGTGAGCCTTAAGTGAGTCAACTTAACTTAGTTTTATTAAACTATGCATTTGGCACTAACCTTGGGGAAATGTGGGGGAATAATTTATCGTTAGCTACCGTCTACTACTTAATAAAGAGGTGTGTGGGGGGTGAGAATTAACATCCCAAAATGCTTTAGTATCTTAGTACACTGAAATAAGCTGACAAAAAAAATGAGCATTTTTTAAAAAATATTAATGCTAAGCCCCTCCTGAGGTGAAAAAATGTTTTCTTTTGCCCTCTGAATTTCCATATAGATATTCACATTCTTAAATTAGTTCCAAATTAGGATTTTCATGAAGTGGTTACAATAACCCAAACCACCCATGAAAGTATTCCATGAATTGAAATCAATTGTCTAAACAATGTTAAAGCAACAGAAGTCTGCAGACCAAGCTAACATACTCCAGTGAGACAATACTTGTTCAAGTGGGTAATGGCTATTGCTGCATACATTGGTCATTTGCCTTTCTTCAGAAATGCTCTTTGGAATTTGGATTGTTTTGTTTTGCTTTGGTGGAGTTTTGTTATTGTTTCATCTTGTTCAAAACCAGTGACAGTTTCAGCTGTCCCACTTTAAGGGACTCAGCTTTGCTCCTGTGGTTTTTGGCCCAAGCCTCAGGGAGTTCAGCTGCTAGCTAAAGGTTATTTTATTCACCCTTGTTTGGGAGGGGAGGGGAGAGAAAAGGTAAACCTCCTCTTTTCCCAGTGTTCCTCTAGCTTAAAGTGAAATAGTTCATCCTCTGAAATAGACAGGCATCTCTTTTATTTAATATTTTTTTTAACTGAAGCATTCACTTTCTCAAACCTGGATTTGCTCCACTGGTTCCCTTTACCCTTTCTCATGGCACAGCGCTGGTCTTAATACTATAGCTTAGAACACAGTAATTCAGAAAAGGGGAAAAGAGATTAGGGGGTTGTAGTGGAATATAGGTAAGTATGAAAGTAGAAAAAATAACCATCTGGCCTGAAAAACAAAGAAGAAAGTTAAGCAGGTAGCTGGATATACAGATGGTACATTAGTAAATGTTCTGAGGGAGCAGTACTAAACATATTTTTAGGATACTATTCCATTAGTTTGACTATATCCCATCAGAAAGAACTTAACTCCTGCCTAAAGTGAGATCTATAGGTAATACTGAATGTCTTGGAAAGATTGTGCTGATCTTAAGTAAGACAAGCATGGTGTTCTCCCAACAACCACCCCACCCTACCATTAAGGGTGGGGTCCAGTCATATTGGTCACCCACAACCTTCAAATGCCTCTCCTTCAATTCCCTCCACACCCCCAAGGAAGGTGGCAGCAGTGATGTATCCAACATCCATATCCCTCCTCATTCCCATCAGAGAAAGATCAACTATATCCCACTCCACTCCCTTCTCTCTTCAAGTAGCCACCTCAACTATTCCTTCCCCATGGGGAAAGATAAATCATGGATTTAGAACTGCAAAAGACCTTTGAGCTCACTGAATCCAACTCCTCTTATTTTCTAGATGAGGAAACCAAGGCCCAGAGAGGTTAAATAACTGACCTAGGGTCAAATATTAAAAGTATATGATACAGGATTTGAATCCCATCTTTTAAAAGAATCCAAGTCCAGTGCTATATCCACTCCACCATATTGTCTCTCTAAAGAGAACAAATAGGAGACAGATATCTCCATTTGACAAACGGACCTCAATTTCCTCATCAGGAAAATAAGAGGGTCCAATTAGATGATTCTAATGTACTTTCCAGTTCTAAATATCATGACACCTTGCTTTGCAGGGCAGGGACTGGTGATATAAGCCGCAAAAATCCTTTGAAACTCCATCCCTGACTACAACTCAATAGAAAAATAATATGAATTTTTGAAGAGTTCACCTTTCTATTTCCTTCCCTAGAATTCCCCTTCCTATCCTTTATAATACTTACAAAATTACTAGGCAATTTGGCCATATGGAATATAGATATAACATGACTTAAACATCTTAATTTGGCCCATACACACACTCTGTCACAGCATACAGTAGAGTACATATATCAGATCATCCGATTAAAACCTGTTCTTCCTGTTAGTGCCAAGAAATAAACTTGATTGCTGTTTCATTTGGTGAAGGAAATATAAAATATCACTATTTTCATTGCAAAAAAAATTTTGGAAGAACACTAGCCTATGAATAAGTCCAGTTCTAATCACTTGGCTTCCCAATCTTTGACTATAGTCATTGAACAATGGCACTAAATTATTATAATATAGGCTTCTTTTTGGCATATGATGAGATTGAAATGAGGGCTAAACTCAAGTTACTCAAGGAATCAACGAGAACAAAGACCAATGGACAGAATGTTGGTTCTGGAGTCAAAGCAGGCATGCTTTATGGCAATACTCAGCTGTTTTTAAGGCAAGATACAGCTTTCAGTAAGGCAGTACAACTTAAAAGCAATGGACTTGAATTCAAAACCCACATTCCAAGTCCAGCTCTCTTACTTACGACGTGTGGACCTTGCACAAATTACTTAATCCCTTAGACTAGAGCCTTATTTTCCATGTCAGTGAACATCTGTCCACATTTTCCCCATCAAAATGTGAAGGTTGACCTAGACCTCTAAAGGCTCTGCCCATTCAAAATCTATAAATGCTGAATAATCCATTCTCTAATGAAGCAAACCCATGGAAAAGTTGCTCTAAAAAGGGAAATTTCTAGGGAGTGGAGGGGGAGATCTATTTTGATGAACTTTATAACAAAAAGTGAAAATTTCACAATATCACTAATTTATCTATCCTTGCTTCAGCTCTCCAATCTGTGGATCAGCTCCAAACCCTCTCTGAATTAACTAGAATGCAATTTCCCATTGCAGTAAGCACTTTTAAAACTATCATTGGAAACAATCAAACACAAAGTAAATCTCTCAAGGATGTTTCATGTTAATACATATCTTTACCAGTGAGAGACTGCATACTATTTTACAGACATGAACAGATAGGGAGGTAGAATGAGTCATTTGAATTTCACCATTGTTTATTGAGGGCAAAAAAGTCTAGTGGGTAGAATACACTCCAATTGGAGTAAGGAAGACTTGGATTTAAAACCCTACCTCTGACATATCTTAGTTATGTGATTTTGGGAAAGCCACTTGATCTCTGAGACGAGGTTACCTTATCAGTACAATGTGGATAATGGCTAATAAAAATAGCTAGCATTTATTGTCATAATTAAAGGTTTGCAAATCATTTTACAAGTATTAACTCATTCTAGCATCACAACACCAGGAAGGCACCATTATTATTGTTATCTTCATTTTACACATGAGAAAACTGGTTGTAGAAAGAGGTTAAGTAACCTACCCAGGTCACCTGACTAATAAACATCTGAGACAGTATTCAAACTCAAGTCTTCCTGACCCCAAGTCCCACACTCTACTACACCACCTAGCTGCCTAACAATAATCCCTATCATACTTACATTAGATAGTGTATATGAAGTGATTTGCAAACATTAAAATGGTATGTAGCTGCATTCTTATTATTATTACTAAGTTTCAAGGGCCACAGGTTCTCTTAGTCATCCTAGAAAGAGTAAAGTGGAAGAGTTGTGTCCACCAATGACGCTTTCTCCAATAGAGTTATTCTCTAAAAGCCAGTGTGGTCCAAAACGAAGAACAGTTAAAGGAACTAGATGGATTTGAATATTTTAAGAGCACTAACCTTCCCTTAGGAGGAGTGATAATTCATAAGCTCCAACTCTTGACGTACCTCTCCACAATGAGCACATTGTTTTATGACAGTCACCATGGTGACATTAGGAAATACAGTTATTAACACAAATGGGAAAGTTCAAAGCCGGGAGACGCCCAAGCTTTAAACTGGCTAGAGATCATAGACGCAACACCTTTTTGGAGTGAACTCAGGAAGGAGTCAGGAGGTTGGAGTCAACTTGGGGAGACAAGCAGGCCCAGATGGCCAAAACAAGGAAAGCAGACAACTGCTGCTTCTGTTCTCATTCCACAGTACCTTTGAATCCCAGGGATATGTGTGGTCAAAGCTGAAAATAACAGAAGGGTAGAAAGAGTTAGGAAGGGTGGGAAAGGAGGATATCAAGCCTTTGCTTTCCTATCACCTTTTGGGTCACATTTCTTAAATCCAAAGCTAGAATAATTTTTTTGTTTGTTTTGGTTGGGGGGGGGGGTTTGGGGGGGGCAATCAGGGTTAAGTGATTTGCCCAGGG